GCTGTGGACCTAGTAGGTAGAGAGGCAAGACCGCAAATTCACCTGCCCCTTCTGGGGTTCCCAGGACCAAGAAACACCAAGAGCCATCAGAATTACTTGATTGGAGGGTAAGCCAATGACCTCCCCCACATGCCACAGCCACAGAAACATATGGATTGTGCTCCCAAGATGGCTGCTGGCATGATGCAGCATGTACACGCGACACGCCTTGTTGCAAAACAGTGTTAGACTAAAGGGAATTCAAAGGGAAGGGGGGACAAACAGGGTGAGATGAGGCTCAACCTAATAAGGCCTGAAAGGCCAGATGTATCACACCCCTAAAGCAGGGGGCTAAAGTCAAGCAGGGGACTAAAGTAAAGTAACAATACCGGAGATGAACGGAGACCTGAGTAGAGAAGGGACACATAAAGTCCAGGCATAAAGGGAAAGGGAATAAAAATCCCAAGATACAATCAGTAATACAATCAGTAATAATTTAAAAGACAATATATATCAAGTAGAGTGATTCAAAATAAGAAGAAATCAACACTGTGACCCAGGGCCGGACTGGGAATTAAAAGCAGCCCTGGAAAAAAAATATTTACCAGCCCCATAATGCGTTGCGCCAGCATAGTGTGCAGATACAGAGTTAGAACAGATAACTTAAAATTAAAAAGTACTTCAACGTAAAAAGCGCACTCATAGGCTTCAAAATAAACAAAAGTGCAGATTTATTTTAAGCAGACGTGCCTTTGCATGTAATCAATGTTTCAATCCAACTACCTTGACATATTAAGGAAAGCTTGTTAATGGGACTGAAATGGTGAATGTATGTAGGGCACAACTGTAAAAAATGTTTATTTTGAAGTCCTGTGGGTGTGCTCTTCACTTTAATATGTTATTGTGCTGGAGTATGCACCTAGCAACAAGACTGGGCCAATTTCTGCTCATTACATATGGTACATATTAATGACATTTCTCTGTGTATTATGCATTTATAAATGTACATTAATATGTGTAAATATAATAGGTGTATATATATATATATATGGTCATATACTTGCAATAATGTACCTCAAAAAGAAAAAAAGAGATATACAAATAATAGTGTAGCACTGTTAGTATTCCGTAGGTGGGCAAGAAGTAAATAGATGTACACTCACATGTGACAGAGCTAGAAACAGAGCTCTACTGTTCATGCGCATAGACGGAATAATCCCCGTCTTAGGATAAATGTAGGGTGGTCCACGTCTTGATGGTCTCAAATAAAGAACATACAAATAGACAGGAGAATCCACATAGTGCAGTATGTATTAAAATCTCTTGGGATAATGGATAAAATATAATGTATTGTACTCACATTTACTAGAGCGTGCCTCGCTCTAGTTTATAGCGTATAGGTGGTATAATCCCCACCAAGGAATAAGATGGTAACCAGGAAAAAATATATATAGTAATGGATATCTCAGAGTGATAAAAATATATAAAATATTAACTGTTTATTGTACATAAAAAACAATAAAAACAAATAAGAAACACTCTATGAGAAAGTCCATAAAAATCCACTTTACACGTTTCACCTGTAGAGGCTTCTTCAGAAGTGTGGATAAAGTCCTTTTAATGTCCAAATATACAAGAAGTAAAATTTAAAATAATTGTCTTCATATGTTGGAGAATTACTTACTGTTTCCTGGTTTTCGCGCGCGCGTCATACCGGAAGTGACGCGGTGCCATCTTGGCCAATAATAGGTAAGAGGATATGAGTTATGTTAGCCACCGGTGGAACGCACGCGTCATACCGGAAATGACGCGGCGTGACCGGACGGTGGAGTTCTATGCGCTCCACGTGTGGAACGCAAGCAGAAGAAAAGGAAGTCATAGTGATGATGCAGGCATATTCTATGCGTTCCACAGAAGGAACGCAAAAATAAACGGCAATAGTAATAATACTGTATGTCTTTCATAACATTAATAGTGATATTGTCATTCTAATAAACTATAGTGGATTACATAATAGACATAATATAGTTGATATAACCTTTAATTAATATATATCTTAATAAAATAATGCAAATTGAGACTTAGCATGCAATTTAAAGTGGCAAATGTATACCATATTTTGATGCATTCACCATTGTAGGACAAGAGCAAATAATACATAACTAAAAAAGTGATGTATAAAAATTTGCTAAGGAATACCCTATAGGAAATGAACTAAAATGAATGAATAAAAGAGTGGAAAATAAAAGGAACATATAGATATCTTATAATAATATTATATATAGGATACATAGAAGAAGACCAATCATATATTGTAGAATATGGGAAAAGACTAGTGTTCTTTATTTGAGACCATCAAGACGTGGACCACCCTACATTTATCCTAAAACGGGGATTATTCCGTCTATGCGCATGAACAGTAGAGCTCTGTTTCTAGCTCTGTCACATGAGAGTGTACATCTATTTACTTCTTGCCCACCTACGGAATACTAACAGTGCTACACTATTATTTGTATATTTGTATATCTCTTTTTTCTTTTTGAGGTACATTATTGACCATGACCATAAGGACTTGAGTACGTATTTACGTATCACAATAAGGGCGCGGTTTCCTCTTTTCTCTTTTGTTCACTATTGCTTTGTCACAAGGTAGGGAATCCTTGTGTGGTTACTGCTGCCCACTCCCTATTGTATCCACCACTATAGTGAGCGCCTAATCATTTTTATTTTTGTATATATATATATATATATATAAAACTAATACACACATTAATATACATGTCATATACTAGTGGCGGATCCAGAGCCTGAGCCTGAGAGGGGCACTTGTAGATTATTTAAAGAACTATTCCATGCACAATAACCACTACTCCTCTGTGTAGTGGTTATGGTGCCAGGAGCGTCGGCACCCCCTCCCAGAGTAAGTCGTCAAACCGTTTAAGAACAGTTTGACAACTTACCTGGAGTCTGCTGGGATATGGGGCTGTAGTAGGGTATACGAGCAGTGGTGCAATGTGTGTGAAAGGTTCAGTGTGTGGGTGGGCAGTGTGTAAATGTGTATGGTGTGTGTGTGTGGGGGCAGTGTGTGAATGTGTATGGTGTGTGTGTGTATGGGGCAAGAGTTCACTCCTACTACTGGGACCACCAGGAAGTGGTGAGAGTAAACTCTAGCCTGTAGCTCCAGGGCTAGAGTTCTCCCTCGTGAGAGCCGGAGCATTGCCCCAGGTCCTCTCTTCCAGGGGAAAGCCTGGGGGGGGAGGGGGACCCGTTGCCCCCCCCCATCCACCAGTGATATATACTGCCCCTATTTGTGTCTCTTTATCTCCAGCCCCTCTGTGTGCCTTTTTGTCTCCCACAGTCACTCTGTATGTTTCTTTCTCCCCCTCACTGCTCCTCTGTGTCAATGTCTCCCCTCTCCTTCCCAGTCTCTCTCTTCCCTCTCTGCATCTTTCTTCCCCTCCCCTTGTGTGTGTCTCTCTCATTTCTCCCTCTTTGTCTCTCTCTTCCCCCTCTGCCTCTTTCACCCCCTTTCCCTGTGTCTCTTCCTCCCCCCTTTCCCTGTGTCTCTCCCTCCTCCCCATCTCTCTCCCTCCCCTCTTTCCCTGTGTCTCTCCCCTCCTCCCCATCTCTCTCTCCTGTGTCTCTCCCCTCCTCCCTCCCCCTTTCCCTGTGTCTCTCCTCATCTCTCCCCCCCTTTTCCTGTGTCTCTCCCTCCTCCCCTCTCTTCCTCCCCCTTTCTGTGTTTCTCTCCCCCTTTTCCCTGTGTCTCTCCCTCCTCCCATTTCCCTGTGTCTCTCCCTCTATTCCTTTCTCTCCTCCCCTTTCCTGTGTCTCTCCCTCCTCCCTCTATTCCCTCCCCACCCTGTGTCTCTCCCTCCTCCCTCTATTCCCTTCCCCCCTTTCCTGTGTCTCTCCCTCACTCCCTCTATTCCCTCTCTCCCCCTTTACCTTGGAGAAGTCAGGGGGCGACCGCATTCCTGGCTGGAGCCGCCGGGCCGGGTGGCAGCTTCCCCGGTCCGGCGGCACTCCTCTCACTGCTGTGGCTGATGGAGGAGGAGCATGTCTCTGTGAGGGAGCATGGTACAGAGACATGCTCCTCCTCCATCAGCCACAGCAGTGAGAGGAGTGCCGCCGGACCAGGGAAGCTACCACCCGGCCCGGCGGGTCCAGCCAGGAACGCGGCCGGCCCCCAGGTGCCGCGGCCCACCGGGAAATTTCCCGGTATCCCGGTGGGCCAGTCCGGCCCTGCTGTGACCTGATCCTGTGAATCAGCAAAGATAGATGACAGACTTATTATTATCATTTATTATTATTAGCATTTATATAGTGCCAACGAATTCCGTAGAGCTTTACTTAGTTCACTCCACTCCATGCATGCGCTGTACTGTTTTATGATTGGTTACCTTGTTTTTTGCTGCTGTGGAGTTTTTTTAAAGAAAGTGTAAAATATGAGCCTCTTGTCAAGTTGTAAAATTTTATCCAGCACTCCTGCAATATTGAAATCTGTTTATTTGCAGCCCATTAGCAGCAACGTTTCAACAAGTAAACTTGTTGTAGCATTGCTGCTAATGGGTTGCAAGTAAAGGCATATCAAACTATCTGTTATGAGGCTTGTGGGGGCCTATCTACTAAATATTTACAAATAGGCCCTAATAATAATATTCAGGTGAGAGCACCTAGTATCCCGTCATGCCACACCAATGGGTGGGGAATCTAAAGAATTAAACAATTGGGGTGGAAGTGTCATTATCCACCTCCCCAAATAGTGTCATGTCCACCCTCTCTCCCACCTGGTCGGCTATGATCCCCTTGTCATCCCCTAGTACCCTCAATAAAAAAAAAAACCTTATCTACACCCCTCACCCTTTTACATCAAAAACACCAACCTACACAAATGTCAGGCGATGTCTCTGGCTACGGCTTTCCCTCTAGGCTGCAAAACCCAGAAGGCTGCTATCCTTGTCTGCTGTCCACAACCTTGGGAGGACTCTCTAAAGACATTGACCCTGACACTGAGATGGAAGGATCTGTGGATTTAAGGCGATGCTTGCTGGAACTGCCTGGGTTTGGAGTGTGACTAATTTATGGCCCTGCAATGCCGATCTACATCGACCAATTCACTCAACTAGGAATAATGGTCTACATTTCATGAAATACTGTCTTGGTTGATGGAGTCTTGGATTGGTGCTGCTTGCAACTTCTTTGAAAAGGTTGGGCTGTTTTTTGGGGTGCTTCATGGTATTGAATGTATTGAATTTATTGAATTTGACTTCTTCCTTAGTTATTTTCTTTTTATTACTTAACAGTAGAATAACACCCTACAGCAAAGCTAAATGCCTTGTGTCATCCATGTCTAAGTTTATTATCTATCATTAGCCAATCAACTATTTTTGTAATATCTTATATTAAGTCCCATAACTGGCACAGTCCCAATATCGGTCTCTTCTGAGCTAATAGCACTATGTATATTTGAGCTGCTGCTTGCCTTTCTGATTATCGCTGTATGTTCATGTGATATTGCATATCTACACCTCTGATTGTTAAGCAATTTTCTTTCTTGTACAATATTTTTAGATGTTCAGCATTCTTTAAAGACACGTCTCTTCCAATCCATACATTTTCTATGCACTACAAAAATAAAGAATTTTGATTTTTAATTTTTTTTAGCATTATTATAGATAATTTGCGATCCCGCATCCTGCTGGATGCATTTGGTTCTAAAATTTTGTAAAAGCTGTGCTTTATGAATCTTCTAAATTGTACACTTTGTATGGAATTCAGATGCAAAAGCACCTGTTTTAATCCAGATACTGAATACATCAGAGCGATTGCTGCAGATTTTCCCAGGCTCACTGCATTTGACTTTAGTGAATATGAGATATGCCTTTGCTGTTGAAATTCGATAATTTTCACCAGATTTTGCCAATCTGGTCAAAATCGGGTATTTAGTGCCTAACCTTGAAAGCTTTTACTAAAATGAAATTTCTAAGTGAATACAAGGTGAATTTTACAACTGAGGCCAAAATAGTCAAACTTAAAGCAAAGTTGACTTAGGCCTTAATTTATTTTGTTGGATAAGATTTCCAAATCATTTAATATTTTTGAATAAACTTTTAGAATGATTAGATATTCTGAAAAATATTGACATTTTTTATATTTTGATGTGTATATATATATATATATATATATATATATATATATTTTTATCCATGAAGTACTTTTTCATATTTTAATGTGTTGAAAAACTCATTTGAAAATGTTATCCAAAAATATTAACTCATTTGGAAAGCCTATCCATCAGTATTAAATAGAGGCCGTAGCTGGCAAGGCAGTTACCATAGTATATATATCATTACCATAGGAGTTATAATTGCCTGTGAGAGGTCTCTCTGCACTCCCTCGTCAATCAATTGTTTGGCATAGAATCTATGCCAAACAATTGACTGACAAGTGAGAGAAAGGACTATTTTAAATAGGCTTTTCTTCCTCATTATACATTTCAAAAGAACATAAGTTCTAAGTACCATAACAGGTACCAGTGAAAGAAAACAATCAAACAGTTAAATGCATTAAGACACTGTGGGGTTTAACTATTAAGTTGTAGTACAGCATGCAAAATATAGGCAAAAATAGCAGGTTTAGAAAAATATCTAGCAACAGATTGTCTATTTTAGCATACATATTGAATTCAGTATTTCATTCAGATTGGTGTTTAGTGAATAAACCTCAGTGTTTTTATTTAAAATAATAATTTTTTAAAATCCAGTAAGGTAATAATATGCATGTAATGAGTGTAAATATTGCAGAAGGAAACAACAGGCAGTAAGAGTCACTGTGTAAAGCATAAGGAGGTGCTAATCTCTGATCAATTAGCCGCTGTAGGGATTTGTCTAACACTATTTACAGTAGCAACAGTTCACAGAAACAGCAGGGCCGCAGTGCGACTGCCATATACTGTGGCAGTCCTTTGGGATTAGACAGTTTGAGAGTGTATATACAGGGCAATTTGGAGTTTTCCCAGGGTTCTCTCTAGAACAAATATATGGATTTTCTTCCACAGTCACAGTCATTGAGATGTAAGATGTTAAATTATTGCAGCCAGTGAAGTAAATAACTGTACTCTACTATTGTACAATAATGTTATTTTAATATCTTTAAGACCCTTTTAACATATCTTGAAAAATATAATAGTTCCATTTGTCCCCATGCTATGTACATCAGAAATATTTCTTGGGCTTGTTTAATCTGTGTTATTACAAGTATGTAATTGTACAACTGGTAAATACAGTATCAGCACCTGATTTTATTTTGCTGAATTTCCTATTCCATATAATACGAAAGCTGTATTAACAGCCTTTTGGAGCCCATGCCTATGGAATATACCCATTGATTAAAAAAAAAAAAAAATACCCTTCACATGCTCTTGCTGTGTGCAAAGGGAATTAACTATGGAAACGCAAGAGGTGTGTGGGGGAACTGGCTGACAATGAAATTAGTTAAGGTAAAGCTGACTTTGCACACTGGTCAAATGTTCTTATTGCTTATGTCTCCCTAACACTGTGGCATGTCTCCTTAATTTTAAACTCACTACACGCACCTTTTATCTGTCCCAGACTGCATACCAGGAGGAGGTGTGACTGTTTTTGTGTTATCTGTCAACAAGATCATCTAATTAGGCCCATGGTAATTGTCAGCATCAGGACCAATGGGCTCTTAATCTATCCCTTATAATATGATTAGACATATTTCATGATTTACATTTAAAAGGAAATGGTTTCAAGTCCCTGTATGTATTTGTATTAATGTTACTTAATTTATTTTCATAGCTTTGATTTTTTTTGTGATAAACACGGAATATCACCTAATTGTGTAAAGAAGACCTGGTGATTGATGAAGTCTATGTGAAAGTTACATAAATAGGAAATCAACGCATGCTTTGATTTACTGTCTGAAATTATCTGCAGCTTCTCTCACTGGATATAGCTAACTTGGCATCAATTCAAGAAATAAACCTTTTCCAATTATGAAAGCTAGGTGAACTTGACCCCAAGTCAGAGACGTTTTAGCCGCGAGGAAAACAAGGCATTTGCCTTGGGCGGCACTGCCTAGGGCAGCACAAAACCAAGATACACCACTGCCCCAAGTTTTGATTTGAGCTTGGTTGAATATTTAAAACAGCACTTTCACCCCCTATGATTGTTAATATTTTAGGTTTACATATACCTGTACGTAAAGCGTCTTGCATTACTTAACACAGTAAAGGGTTTAAAAAAACCAAAAAAAAAACAACTAAAAAGGTTGAATTAATTGGCTGCAACATTGTACCAATGATCGGTAACAGACTGTCACTGCAAGCACTTGACTCCAATTCCATCGATTGGCTGCTGTGGGACTGCCTGGGTTGCCTGGCAGTTACCCCGATAGAAATGGTGTAAATTTCAGAGAATCGACAGCTTCTCTTTAAAACAAGTACAATAAATACATATTTAAACAATGATACACATGTTGTTGTTTTTGTTCTATTTTCTAGCAATTTGAAAAGATGCACCGATAAATCAGATGAATTGGAAACTCTCCACTTTAGTCTTATATATAAGAATATTTAAGGAACCTATAGTCCCGAATTCTTTGGGACTCTAAGTTCCCTTCTATGGTTTTGAACTCTGTTCACCCCTCTTTGATGTTTGATGACTCTATAGTGGCCTCTGTAGGTAATACTAAAAATAATGCATTTATTTACAGTGAGGGAAAAAAATATTTGATTCCCTGCTGATTTTGAACATTTGTCCACTAACAAAGAAATGATCGGTCTATAATTTTAATAATAGGTGTATTTTAACAGTGAGAGACAGAATAACAACAACAAAAAATCCAGAAAATCGCATTTCAAAAAAGTTATAAATGGATCTGCATGTCAATGAGTGAAATAAGTATTTGACCCATATCAATCAGCAAAATTTATGGATCCCAGGTGTCTTTTATACAGGTAACAAGCTGAAATTAGGCGCACTCTCTTAAAGGGAGTGCTCCTTATTTCAGCTCGTTACCTGTAAAAAAAAAAACGCCTGTCCACAGAAGCAATCAATCAGATTCCAAACTCTCCACCATGGCCAAGACCAAAGAGCTGTCCA